CGCCCTTGACGGCCTTGACCCAGAGGTAGCCCTGGCGCGCGACCTCGCGCTTGGCGGATGCTAATCCAACGGCCACCGTCGTCGCGCCCGCGTCCGCGGACGACCCGTCGTCGTCGCCCTTCTCCTCGAACGCGACGGCCAAGGTCGTCAGCGCCGCGATCCAGTCCAGGCGCGCCTCGGGCGTCTCGCCGCGGAAGAAGGCCCAGCGCGTCGCGTCGCTCGGCCCGTCGCGCGCGGCGCCGACGTCGCCGTCGACGACGGGCGCCGCGAACGCGCGCGGGTCCAGGCTCCCGCGGCCGTCGTCGCCCAAGTCGCCCACGGTCCGCGCGGCCGCCGCGACGTCCTCCGCCGACGCCCGCAGGGGCGCGTGGACGACTCTCAAGTCTTCCACGTGGCCGCCGTCCACGAGGTCCTTGCCCGGGTAGGCCCGCAGCTCGCCGTCCTCGCGGAGGACGTAGAAGCGGCCCGTCCAGCTCCGCGCGGCCGCGAAGCGCGCGAAGAGGTAGCCCTGCCAGTAGCGTCGCGCGGGCCGCGGGCCCTGCTCCGGTACGGGCTCCGTGACCGCGTGGAGGCGCCGGAAGCCCAGGGTCACGGGGCGGCTCGCGGTCTTCGCCGCGAGCATCGTCGCCTTGAAGCCCTCGCGGAGCGTCTCGCGGCCGTTGACGGCGACGAGGATGCTCCCGACGGTGACGCCCGCGCGCTCGGCCGCGCCCGGCATGCCGTCGGCGCCGGGCTTCAGGCCCCGGACCACGGGGATGTCGTTCATGGGCTTGATGAGCAACCCCAACGCGTCGTCCTGGAGAACGCAGTGGAACTCCTGGAAGAAGGGCGTCCCGGACGCGAGCATGGTGGTTTTGGTGTGTCTGTGTGGTGCGTAGCGTTTTGTTCTTGCTCTTCGCGCCTTATGGCCTGTGGCAGGTGCGTCTGTGGCCTAAGTTCTGTGGTCTAGTTGCGCCATGCTGCGGCGCGAGAGGGAAACATCGCAGACCAAGCTCTTCAACGTCGGTCGGCCGCGGCCACTGCCGCGGCCGAGCATGTTGCCGCGATCGCGCACCTCGCACCGGCTCGTTGACTCGTTCCCCAGCGGCGGCGCGTGGGCTCACCGAGGCGGATTAGAAGCTTAACTCGCGCAAAAGGGAGGAAACCTCCCGCATGAAGACGGCCTGAGCGTCGTCGAAGGCGACACCGGCCCGGAGCTCCGCGGCGAAGTAGGGGACGCTCGCGCGGGCGCAGGCGCGGAGTCGGTCTCGCGCCTCGACGCCGGACGACGAGGACCCGCCGCTGCGCAGCGGCGGCGGCGACGGCGCGTCCGCGGGGGACGGCGGCGCGTAGCGCGGCGGCGAAAACGAAGGAGCCGCCACCGCCGGAGCGGCGGCCGCCGCGGCGCCGCCGGCGGAGCTGCGGAGGCCCGACCGGCGCGGCACCGGAGCGGCCGCCGCGCGCGGCCGCTCGACGCGGCTCCGCTGGCGCGGCGGCGACCGCGCGTCCGCGGGGGACAGCGGCGCGTCCGCGGGGGACGGCGGCGCGTAGCGCGGCGGCGAAGACGGAGGAGCGGCCACCGCCGGAGCGGCGGCCGCCGCGGCGCCGCCGGCGGAGCTGCGGAGGCCCGACCGGCGCGGCACCGGAGCGGCCGCCGCGAGCGGCCGCTCGACGCGGCTCCGCTGGCGCGCCGCGGCGCAACGCGCGGCGATATGGTCCGCGAACGGGAACGGCGCCGGGGCTTCGCCCCGCATCTCGCGCCGCAGCGCCCACAGGCGCTCCGCGAGTTGAAGCTTCAACAATTTGCTGCAATTGGAATACGTCGTCGCTTTCGTCGCGCCGCGGGCGTGGTACTCGCGCACGAGCTCGTCGGGGGTCATCTCGTAGACCTCGACGCGGGAGGCGACGGTCTCCTCGAAACCAACCCGACGCGCGTGTGCCGCCTCGAATTTGTCCGCGAACGGGAACGGCGCCGGGGCTTCGCCCCGCATCTCGCGCCGCAGCGCCCACAGGCACTCCGCGAGTTCGCGCTTTGACAGACGGATGTTGCAAAATTTCGTCGCTTTCGTCGCGCCGCGGGCGTGGTACTCGCGCACGAGCTCGTCGCCGGTCATCTCGTAGACCTCGACGCGGGAGGCGTCGGTCTCCTCGAAGGCCTCCCGACGCGCCCGACTCGCGTGTGCCGTAGGGTCCCCGCCGAAAAACTGGTGCACCTCGTCCGCGAACGGGAACGGCGCCGGGGCTTCGCCCCGCATCTCGCGCCGCAGCGCCCACAGGCGCTCCGCGAGTTCGAGCTTCGTCAAATTGGTTCCGGAATGCGTCGTCGCTTTCGTCGCGCCGCGGGCGTTGTACTCGCGCGCGAGCTCGTCGCCGGTCATCTCGTAGACCTCGACGCGGGAGGCGTCGGTCTCCTCGAAAGCAACCCGACGCGCGTGTGCCGCCTCGAATTTGTCCGCGAACGGGAACGGCGCCGGGGCTTCGCCGCGCATCTCGCGCCGCAGCGCCCACAGGCGCTCCGCGAGTTCGCGCTTCAACAAATTGGAATTGGCATACGTCGTCGATTTCGTCGCGCCGCGGGCGTGGTACTCGAGCGCGAGCTCGTCGCCGGTCATCTCGTAGACCTCGACGCGGGAGGCGTCGGTCTCCTTGAAGGCATCCCGACGCGCGTGTGCCGTAGGGTCCATCGCCAAACGATGCTTCTCCTTCGCCGCTTTCGTCTGATTCGCTAGGCACAACGAGCCGTCCTTGTCGACGACCAAGCAGTTCCAGTTGTTCCCGCCGGCGACCAACGCTCGGTTGCAGCCGCGCTTCCCGTCGATCATCCTGGATTCTGCAGGCCAGAGAGTAGCCCGCAAGAACTGCTGCCGGCCCTCGCCGTCGGCGTTGACCAAGAGGACCAACGACTCGAAGCTGTCGATGAACGCCTCCTTGACGGCCTCGTCGTCCCGGCTGCGCTTTCGCCGCACCGCGAACGAATCGTAGTGCTCCTGCAAGTCGTCGGGCAGCTCGCCCTTGGCGCCCGCGTTCGCGTGTTGCACGGCGCGCGGCCGCAGGAGCTTGCGCACGAGCGCCAACGCGCCGCGGACGTCGCCCGCCTCGATGAGCGCCGATAAGCGGTCCTTGGCCGCCGCCCATAGCGCCTCCTCCGGCATGTGGGAGCCTCGGTACGTCACAGCGGTCAGCAGGTTGAGGCTCTCGTAAAGGATGCCGCCCGTGTCGCCGCAGCGCGCGTCGCTGCCGCCCTGCCATCGTATTAGCGTGTTGCGAAACAGACTGTCGGACCTGCGGAACGGCCATCGTTACATTTCGTGAATGAAAGTTGCATTCAAGGTTCCACCAGTGAATAATGCGATGTTTTTCGCGTCGAGCGCGGCGCGTCGCGCGTCTTGCCCCGGGTGGCGCGCGTTCCAGACGCTGGCACGCGCCAGCTGCGCATCTCCTTACTCAACAGCGACTGCGTTGAGCATCGATACGCGGTTGTTTTTTGTCTGAAGACCACCAAGGGCTGTGCTGGAATGTCTGCGGCGGCCAGCACGCGCAGTGCGCCGGCGACGTCTGCGTGCGTGTCCTCTGCCAGAACGACAACCGTGTCGCTTGGTCGGAGAGACGAAAGAAGGAGGCGATCGACGCAGAGAGAACCAAGTTCGAGCCCGAGGCCCGCCGGCGCGTCGTCGCCGCGGCGCCGCGCGACTTTCGTGACGCCGCCTTGGGAGCGCCGGAGCAAAGGAAGAACAATCGCTCCGGGCGTCGCAGAAACCGCGGCCTCGGCGAAGGGCCTCGCTCGCGGGCTGTTGGTCGCAGATGTTGCTTTCGGGTCCTCGAGCGGTACGACGACGACGCGAGAGTTCCATCGCGCCTTGGCTCGGGCCCGAATCGCTCCGATGCCCGCGGAAAAGGCCGCTCCGAACTTACTGGCGACTGCGGCGAGCAGCCCCGGCACGTCCTTCTTCAACATGGCGTAAATTTGACCGTCGCTACCCAGGCCGACGGCGACGCTCAACCAAAACCAGAGCCCGCCCGGGGTCTTCTCGTGTAAGAGGACCGTCTCGCCGCGCGACCCGCCAGGGCCGGTCTCGGGGATGGTAGCCCCGCCGAACGCCCACGCGCGGTTCGCCCCGAAGAGGAAGCGCCGCATCTCGGTGCCGTCGCCCGTGTCGAGGAGAAGGCGCTCGCGAGCCCCGGCGAAGTGGCAAAAAGGTGAGAGCACAATGGACGGAGACCTGTGCCTATTTGCGCGCCTTACACGCAGCCAGCGACGCGCCGTAGAGCTGCCACACGACATCTAACATGGCGCTGCGCCTGCTCGCGCTCCTCGCCGCGGCGCGCGGCGCGTGGCGGCCGCAGGAGGAGCTCGCGCGGCTCCACGGCGCCTCCTTCGCCGCGAGCGACGCCTGGCGGCGCGTCGAGCTCGAGCTCGACCGGTCGCTGCGCGCCTACGACGCCGTGCCGTCCGCGGACGCCGCGGCGACGCGCGCCGCGGAGATCTTCGCCCGCGACGCGTCGTTCTTCGCGGTCGTCGAGAATACGCTCTACGTCTCCGACGCGCACGACTCGAAGATCAAGCACAAGCCCCACTACCTCTTCTCGACGATCCTCTCCATGCTCAAGCGCGAGCCCTTCCCCAACTTCGTCGCGACCTGGGACGTCGCCGCGACGGGCGCGCACTGCAGGCGCGTCGGCCGCCGCGTGCCGTGCCTCGCCATCGCGAAGCAAGGAGGCTTCAACCAGACGGGCGTGCTCATCCCGAACCCCTACTTCGCCCACGTCGACGAGTGGGACGCGCGCGTCGCGACATGGCGGGCGGCGATCCCCGCCTGGGACGACCGGGACCCGCGGCTCTTCTGGCCGACCTGCTTTACAATCTTATCAATCATACCTACATCTTCAAATATGTCGTATTCTTTACTCTTTTGCGGAAGCGTGCGGTCGGCGTGCGGGCCCGGCAACGTCGCGCGCGTCGCGGCGCTGACGCTCACGGCGCAACACCCGGACCGCTACGACGTGCGCGTGACCCACGGCCTCGACGCGCCCGACGCGAAGGCCTGCGCCCGCGAGTTCCCCTACACGAAGGCGATGGTCGACCTGTCGACGGGAAAGATCCCGGCGCCGACGGGCGGTTTCGTGAACGCGTCGGAGTTCTCCAGGTGGCGCCGCTACCTGAACCTGCCGGGGACCATGGGCGGCTCCTACTCGCGGAACCTGAACCTGCTCTGGCCCCTCGGGGGCGCCGTCGCGCTCTGGGACGGGTCCGCCGTCGAATGGTACTACCCGGGGCTCCGCGAGGGCGAGACGCACGCGGCGCTCGACGAAAAGTCCGCCGGCGCGGCCCTCGACGCCCTCGACGCGGGCGAGGCGGCGCTGGCGGCGGCGGCGGGCGCCGTCCACGAGACCTTCCTCGCGGGCGGCAGCCTCGACCGCTACTGGCGACTGTTAGTCGGCCGGCTCCGCGCGCGCTTCCGCCTCGGCGACGTCCTCGACGACCTCGGCGGCGCCGCCGCCGCCGTCGCCCTCGCGGGCGTCGACTGCGGCGCGCTGCGCCGGGTCTACTGGCACAGCCCGGACCGGCCCTTCTTCGACGAGACGCCCGGCCTCGGCAAGCCCGTCGCCTACGCGGCGCTCGACGACGGCGACCCGCTCCTGGTGGCGTGCCGCCGCGCGAAGAAGAAGACACGGTAGTTAGTCTTCGGGCCACGCCGCCGTGAAGTCGAGGTGGTCGTCGCGGGCCGCGCGCCAGTAGGTGAGCACGTGCCAGAAGATCTCCTTCGGGAGCGGGCGGAACCGCTTCCCCTCGGGGGCGCAGCCGAAGAGCCTCGCGAGGACGGCGACGTTCTTGGGCGACGCGAAGGATGGCGGCTGCGCGCGGCCGCGCGCGACGAGGAGCCGGAGGCGCGCGAGCTGCACGCGCGGCGCTTTCAGGAACTCCGTTGCGCCGCCCGCCCTCCTCACGCCGACGAGTAGATCCTTGAGTCTGAGGAACGCCTGTGTGTCATCGTCGCTCAGCTCCGTCGGACACTCCCAGAAGCGCGTCCGAGCGAAGTGCTCGGCGTCGTCGCCGTCGTCGTTCAAGAGTGCGGGGTCGGCGCCGCGGGCGAGTAGCAGTCGGACCATGCTGAGAGCGCCGGACCAGCCGTGGGAGTGTAATTCCGTCGGACCGACACAACAAGCCTCCATGACGACGGTATTCCCGGCTAAACGAGCGTTGACCATGTGCGGCTCGTGAGCGAGGAGCGTCGCCATAATCGCAGGATCACGGCACATGAAGAGGTGATTTTGTAAAGGCTGTGCACCAGCGCGCAGAAGAAGCTTAACGCACTCAGCTCTAGAGCGCCCGACCTTGCTGCGTACAATAAAATCGCTCAGCAAGCCCCTGAGATGCCAGCTCACCGAAAACTCCCCATGCTCTTCGACCGCCGCGTCCTTCCCGTCGAGGTATTGTTTCAGGGCAGTCGCATCGTTTCTAGCCAGGATGGCCGAGCTACGCTGGTAGATAAACTCCCTCAACTCATACGCCATGATGTCCATGCTCGCGACAGCCGGGGCGGCACGTTTGGCCTCCGAGTATTAAACGCAAACCAAGATCTTCCGGCAGCCCCAAACCTCAAACCTTTGCAGTGGGCGACGGACGTGTCAACGCGAAAGTTCGGCATGATTTCGGGCGACGCGGTGCAGAGCGCGGCGTCGCAGCTGCCCGGCGCGAGCGTCGAAGTGCCGGTGCAGCTCTGCCCCGTCGCGGTGGCGGCGCAGACGTGCCACAACCTCGGCATCTTCGACGAGTCGCACGTCGCAGTGCAGTCCTTCCACAGATTCTGTTTGATTGGCCTGGGCAAGCTTCGGGTCGAGCGCGAGTACGACTTCGAGGCGCTCAAGTCCTTCCAGGCGACGCTCCAGTCGCGGTGCGGCAGGTCCGCCTCCTACCTGCTCCACGGCGCGGGCGCCACGGGCGAGGACGAGCCGCTGTCGAACCGCGACTACGTCGCGCGGTTGAACTCTGGCGCCTATCACCCGGACACCGTGCGCCGCTGGTTCCCGGCGACGGACGACACCATGGACACCGTGATCCTCTACGACCTGCTCAACTTCATGCACGCCGCGCGGCGCGCGAAGACTACATACATGCACACGGTCCGCAAGCGCATCTGCCTCGCGGCGACGTCCGCGGACGGGATGCTGATCAAGCAGGGGCACATGTTCGACGAGGAGAGCGGCATGAACTTCGGGGCCGCCTCCGGGCCCTACGGCATCGAGCGCGGGCGCCAGCTCGACGCGCTCGACGACGACGGGCTGCGCAAGTACCTCGCCGACGACCCGCTGGCCGTCGAGATGGACGAGTACATGATCGCCACGGCCGACGGCGCCGTCGTGGGCCATCTGGGCGCGTCGATGAAGTCGCCCGGCGGCGGCGCGGCGACCATCATCGCGGGCGTCGCGCGATACTTGCCCATCGTCGCCTGCTTCGGTTGCGTGCTCGAGGCCCACCAGACCGGCGGCTCCATGGCCGACGCCGAGGCCATGTGCGACATCTACTGCGACAAGTGCGCCGTCGCGGAGCGCGAGCTCGGCTGGGGCCACACGTGTGAGGAGCACGACGGGTTGCCAAGCTGGCAACTCCGCGTGTGCTCGACCTGCGAGGCGAAGAACGAAGTATGCTACTCCTGCGTTGTGCTTGGGCATAATCAGGACGCCGGCTCGCCGGCCGACACCATATGGTTCATGTCTTGTTATTATTTCACTGTACGAAACTTTCATCGCCTTTTTGAAACTCTCCCAGTCTTTGATTTGACCCTCATATTTTTTTAGATTGGTGCGTGCGGAATCGCTCAATTTGGATGATGTTTTGGGTGAGGGCATCCATGGCGCTGGTGCTGGTGCTGGTGCTGCTGCAGCTGTGGGGGCTGGTGCTGTGGGTTTATTTGTTTTTTTGTTTGACGCGTTGATACGTAAAGTCTTTTTCAATGAAGGTTTAATACGACATCTTTTCGTTTTATCATTGATTTCACAATTTTGTGAATCTTTACTTGGATCTTTTGAAATTCTACATGAATTGTCTCCAGTTGGTCTTTCAAAAAATTCACAGTAAGTTGACATTAAATAATCGAATATATAAAAAAAAAACAGGGGTTTGTTTTTTTGTTTCGTTTTTTATCTTATCTTATATTGTTTTTTTCTGTTTTTTTATTGTTTGTTGTTGTTTTTTATTTTACTTGCTCTTGTAAATCGCCCACTTTTCAGCTGCCTGCTGCGTGATTAACTTCTTCTGTTTCTTCTCATCAGTCTCCTTCGCCAACGCATCAGCAACCTCTTCACGAATCACACTCTCATTCTCAGCCATGAATTCCTTGAACTCCTTAGCAACTTCCTTGGACGTCTCGCTCATCTCAATGAAAGGCTCGCGCTCATCATCGCTCAAAGACTTCCACTTCTCACCAGCTACAGCCATATGCTTCTCACCTTCAGGAACTTCGCCATTTGGGACGCGAAGTCCGGCGTGCTCCTGTACACGGACAAGGGCCGCGGCGAGCTGAGGAGCCTGAAGATGATGGACATCCCCGCGCCGAACGCCATGGTCCTCTCCGGGCTCGTGGAGCCGACGGGCGTCGCGCTCCGCGGCGACGTCGCGTACGTCGCGTGCGGCGCGCTCGCGAGCGGCCGCGCGGGCTCCGTCGTCTTCGTCGACGTCGCATCTGCGCTCGACCCGCGACGACGAACGGCGACGGACGACGGGGCGGGCGACGGCGATGGGGACGGCAATAATGCAACATTGACTGCAACAAATACTTCAAAGAGGCGAAAGCGACAAGAGCTCACGCTCTCAGCCGCAGAGGGAGTGCATGGCTCTCTCGTCCTGCGGCCCTACGGGCTCGCGACGTCGGGCTTCGGCCTCTTCGCGACGGACCGCCTCGCCAAGGCGGCCTTCGCCATCGTGCTCAGCGACCCTGGCAACGGGATCGCGACGAAGATCTTCGTCGGCGAGGACGAGGTTGGCGATATCTCCGCCAAGGACGACAACACGGTCGCCGTCGCGATGACGCGCTGCATCGTCGTGCTGCACCGCGCCAAGGGCCTATGGACGGTGACGCGGCTGCCGACCTTCGACAACGCGAAGTTCCGGGGCGTCTCGTGGTCGCCCGACCCGATGATCATCTACGGTGTGGACGAGTCGCAGAACTGCATCTGGCAGCTGAAGGCGGGCGGCGGCCCTCCGACGCGGATCGCGGGCACGCAGAAGCGCGGCGCGTTGAGCATCGGCGGCAGGGCGACGGCCTGCGCGCTCCAGGGGCCGACGTTCTGTTGTCAAGTGGGCGAGTCCATCGTCTTCGCGGAGACCGCGGCCGGGCAGCTAAGGCTCCTTACGGACATTTATCCGTGGGTCCACCGCGTCATGTCCACCGTCGCGTCGTGGGCCTGCTCCTTCGAGCACACCGCCGACGCCGCGGCGCACACGACGTCCCTCGCGGACGCCGTGAAGGCGACGCGGGCCCTCGACGAGCTCTTATGCGAGCTCCACCACCAGAACTACGTGGTGACGGGACGACGCGGCGCCGACGCGCAGGGCCCCGTGGGGAACGTCTCGGCCTGTGTGCGGGCGTGCGTGTCCTGCAAAATCGGCTTCTACGAGCGCGTCATCACGACGCTCGCGGCGCTCGGCGTCCCCGCGCACGTCGCGCGCGAGGTCCGCGCCGCCGTGTTCGGGACCCCCAGGAACGAGAAGTTTTTCTCTACCATGCGGGCGCTGCGCGGCGCGGCGTCTCCTTCCCGGCGCTCCTCGCGCGGCGCGCGGCGCGTGATTGGCAGACCATGGAAACGTTCAGGTGGCCGATGCCCTACGTGCTCCAGTACCTGCTCGCGCGGTCCAAGGCGATCCACGAGGACATGAAGCGAAGGAACCCCTGCGGCTTCTCCTACATGACCTCCCCGGCGTCGAGGCACGCGCCCGCGTCCGCGGAAAACCCATCGCTCGCGCTCGACGCGCCCCGGCCCCCGCAGGGACCACTACAGCTGCGACGGCGCGCGCGCCGCGACGGAGATTTACACGCTCCAGAAGGCCGGCCGCCGCGGGCGCTCGAAGGAGGCGAAGGCGGAGCGGAAGACCGCCGTCGCGGACGCCGCGCTCATGCGGGGCGTCGCGGAGCGGCTCAAAGGGAAGCGCCAGGCGCCGCCCAAAGCCCGCGGCATGGAGGGACCGGGCGCCTACGTCGACGCGCGCTGGGCGCCGATTTCCGCCGGCGTCGCGGACCAAGAGGTGCGCGCTCGCCAGCTCGCGCTCGACGACGCGCCGCTCGCCGACGCGGGCCGCGGCGGCGACCGGCGGACGCTCCTCTTCCGCGCGGGCGACCTCGTCATCGTCGACTACGACGGCGACGCCCGCTTGGCGCAGCTCAAGGAGTCCCTGGTCCGCGTCTCCACGGAGACGGGCCGTGGCACGACGCGCGCGACGACGCGGACGATGGAGCCGCCGCGGCCGTCCGTCCGGCTCTACGTCCAGCGCGACGACGGCGAGCGCGACGAGGAGACCAACAGCGTGGCCTACGAGACGAGCCGGTTCGCCTGGGTCGAGGTCGAGGCGCGGAACATCTGCGCCGGCGTGCGCAAGGAGAAGATCTTCGCGGTGGAGTACAACAAGGACGCGTCGCGCCGAATCGCGTCGTTCCGCGTCTACGACGACGAGGCCGAGCGGCTCACCTCGATCTGGCGCCACGGCGGCGACCTCGACGACACGCCGCCGCCGTCGGACGACGACGACGACGACAGCGACGACGAGCCCTCCGGCGGGGGCCGGAAGCGGAAGCGAAACGTGCTCCTCAGAGGCTACCAGCTCTAGTCCGTAGTGTAGCTATGATTAACTCGAAGCTTTGCGCTTCTTTTGCGAGCCTCCACGCTTCTTCTTCGACTTGTTCTTCGGCGGTCCGCGCTTCTTCTTAGGGGCCTCCGACGAGGCCCGACGAGGTCCGTCCTTCTTCTTCTGCAACGTGGGCTCCTCGTCGTCGTTCTTGAAGAGCTCCAGGGTCTCCCCAGCGTGCATCGTGTGCCGTAGACGCCCAAACTCGAGTCTCGCCGCCGAGTAGGGGTAATCCGGCTGCTCGTCCTTCTCCGAGTCCCACACCGTCATCCTCGAGCCGTCCACCTTGGTGAGCATGATCTCGAAGGTGTCGTTCACGGGCGTCTGGGCGACGGGGCTCGGCGTCGCCGCGACGACCGCGGACGCCAGGAACTCCGTCATGCTCTGCCTCTGGTGTTTCTCGAGGTCCGGCGCGTTGCCGCTGTTGCAGTACGTCGAGTGCTTCTTCTTCATGTGGTAGTCGATGCACGCCTTGACGCTCCCCGTGATCTCGTAGAGCTTGCCCTCGTTGTGGCACACGTTGCACCGCGCGAACAGCTGCTCGCTGCCCGACGCAGCCCGGGTCGTCGTGGTCGCTCGGGTGCGTGTGATGTCCACGACGTCCACGGCCAGCGTCTCCGTGTCCTCGAAGTTGTTGCCCGTCCACGTCTTCGTGTAGCCGTAGGCGGCCTTGGCCTGGCTCTCGAGCATGCGCGCCTTCCTGCGGAAGTTCGTCTCGGCCTCGTCGAGTTCGTCGTCCGAGCTCTCGCCGCCGCTCTCCTCCTCCACGTCCTCCTCGTCGCCCGAGCCCGCGCCGCCAGAACTCGCCCGGAGCGTCGTCTCCAAGCGCGCCGCGCCCTCGCGGGCGTCGGCGACCGAGCCCTGGAGGACGAGGTTCGTAGTTAACGGACGCGGCTTCTCCGTCGCAAACACCGTCACGCTGTCGCCGCGGCCCTTGCGAATCGAGATCTCGGCAATCTTGATGGCGTTGAGCAGGTCTACATCGTCGCCGGCGTCCTCGCGGTCCTGGAGGGAGACGCCCACGGAGAGGTCGTAGTCGCCGATGCGGCCCCTGACGACCGACGGATCGAATTTGCGGCGGACGAAGTTGATTGCGTCGGAGAACGCGAGCTGGATGCGCCCGTCGACCGTGTCCACTGCTGGGATCGTTGCATAATTCCGCATTATCGCGCGGCTGTGGGCCGATACAGACGCTCGAACCATAGCTTCGTCTTGAAAGGTTCTCGTTCCGTCCGAGGGTTAGAATGAGCTCTAGGACTAGGGTATGGTAATAACTAGGTAAGACTCCCTACTCTAGCCCGGAGGACTAATGGGATCGGAGGCTCTCCACCTCCAACCGCTTAGGTTAGAAGTCTCTCTATCTCTCTATTCGATGATAAGATAAAGCAAATTGAACCTATACGGACATTAGTGATTCGCCATATTAATCAGTTCGCACCTCGAAGGTTTCCATGAGAGCATATCTGAGCATTGTCTTACTGTCGTTTTGCACATCTTTTGGCTGGGGCTGTTCCCACTACAAGCTTGAACTTTTTGATTACACCGGAGACGGTTGGTCTGGTAATCAGTATCACTTTGTGGACGAGTTGGGCAATACCATTATCTCTGGCACGTTGACTCTCGCGGATGGATCTTTCAGCGAGAGGTATGTTTGCGCTGATGATGGCTGCTATCGTGTCAAGGTCGGGGGTAACCCGTATGGAAATCTGGATCAAATTGACTGGACTCTGACCATGATCGAAGACCCCTTCGATACAGTATCAGGCACTGCATATGGTGAAATTACAGTCCAGCTGAGTGGAGGGAAAATTTTAGAGAATGCATGTTCACGGCCGCCCAGCTTGAGCAATGTTCCAACTCGGCATCCAACCTCGACACCAGGCCCAACTTTGACACCAGAACCGACGCCTAGAGCTACCACTTGCTACCATCTGGAATCTCTTAGCATACTGGGCAATGGATGGAACGATAATGTCCTTGATATCAAATCTGACTATTTATTCCTCACATACACCTTTGATGATGGGTTCTATAAGGAAGACAGTGTCTGCATTGATGATGGATGCTACGATTTTCGCTTTGGAGGGGGGTCCCAACTAGATGCTGCGGGGTTTCGCTTCGTTTTTGATGACAAATTTTATGGAGAAGTCCCGACATCAGGGCTCATTGGTCTATCGCAAGGAGCCGTGTCCATGGGGCAATGTACCTCACAGCCTTCTCTCAGCACACCGCCCTCAATTTCGCCAAACCCGTCACCTAGTCCGAGCGTTTCTAAAAGCCCGACAGTGACCTTTACGCCCACAAACACTCATAGCCCAAGTGTGGATGCGTGTAAGCCCGAGTGTTATCACAATACCTGCTTTGATCTGATCTTGGCATATGAAGACACCACATGCGAGAATCTCCAAGAACTTGGGTGCACATGTGCCAACTGTCGTTGCCCGGACCCCCGTCCGACGAGTGTCCCCTCGGCGAGCTTAAAGCCCACTTTGACCAAGACTCCAACAGCAGCCCCCACGACAGCAACGCCAACAACGCCGAAACCCAGTCTGATGCCCCATGCTCGACCGCCAAACCTTGATTCCATCAGTACAGATGATACTGATGATGAGATGCTCTTATCGTCAGAAGAGGGGCTCCTGATTGTCTTTTGCATTGCCTTTGTCAGCGTTAGCCTTGGACTGTGTTTGAGGGATCTGAAACACAAGAGAGACAGCGCGAGAGAAGTAGAGATACACGCACATCAAGCAGGTATCGTTAACGCATCTGCGAAGCACACCGTAGAGCAGAGAAAGAATACTTGCTCTGCGCCAGAACTCGTTAATGCCACCGAAACTCATATAAACACGGCTCCGGAGAAGCAAAACAGCTCCCTTCCTGTAGCAAACATCAAAGAAGATGTCATCGAGTTCTCTTATATTTGATGTAGCACAGTGCTGCTTTGACGTATTTGTATCCCATTAGACGCACAGATAGCCTATCAGCCGAACTCGGGGAACATACCAAGTCCATGACGATGGAGCATATGTCACATGATGAGCTTCCCACAGGTCTGTCAAAAATGCACCCGTCCTCAATATGAGTACATTTCGCAGCAGCGGTGAATGCATTTCCCAGCAGCGTTTTTACGCCCCTAGCGCGGAGGTTTTGGCGCTCCTCGGCGACTTTGCGAACATCTTTCTCGGCCAAATTCGCTAAATTAATTCCCCCGGCAAGAGTGTAAGACACTGCATATAAAATCGCGGGCGCTTACTAATCCACGGCGGGAACGCAACTTTAGCTCATTGAGCCTATAATGAATAGGAGCATGCTAGATGAGTATAAGTTTACAATAGAATTTCAATTCTCAAAGTCTCCAGAGTCTCTTGTGGAGATAAAAGACGCGCTTATGTTCGCTGACCGGTCACAACGGTTCCCGCTCAGGGTCAGGAATCTTGCCCAAACGCCTCTGAAAGAACAATATCATCACCCAAGCTTCTTTTTCTTAGCGAGAGCTCGCGTCCAGTTTTGTATGACTCCGCGCTGTTGGCCGAAGAGCCTCATGTGCTAATGAGTAGTTTAATTCCCGTTGCCGTTCGAGCCATGTACGTGTTGTTTGCAATGCTGTCAAACGAGATGTAAGGGTGAACGTCAAACCTCCGCGGGGGCGCTACTTGCTAGCTATTCGCAGATTACCTGCGCCGCTTGCGCCCCACATGAGCCTGGGGTAGTTTATGGACGTCAAAGCGCCGCGCACGTTTTGTCCTAGGAGCGGTGCCGCAGACGGCTCGAGGTTCGAGGAACATGGCGACGCCAAGTAGTAACAGGATAGGAAGCGGCGTGAAGAGCGTGTCCCTTCGGGCGCTAGCCATTAACCCGGGTAATCAAAGGACAATCAAGGTGTCCATGTGATCAAGCTTACTAAATATGGATACAAACGAGTCTATTACAACAGGGAACAACAGGGCGAGTGAATTTACAAACGCTTCCATCGTGCAAGCTCGTAACTCGAGTCAAGATCAGCCTAGATACGAAAGCTGTGACGACGGATTATTCAAGACATACCATCGAGGATTGTGCGCCACTTTCTCAGATTCTCTTGAATGCTGTCAAAATTACCGTGTCTTGGGATATTGTGAAACACGGTTTAACCCGGGTGGATCCTTGGATGGATATTGTTCCCAATCGTGTGGGTTTTGTGAGGGTGTCGGAGATACGGATCTGGAAGGCATGGGTAGAGGTGTGAGGTACGACGCAGCCAAATCCAACCCACGTTTATTTTGTTTAATAGCATTTGCTATCATTTTTGTTGCCGCTGGTTGCATGTTACTGGCCTGGGGTATTTTTGTAGCAAAGAAAAAAACCACACGTGAACCAAAGATGCTGGCGTGGTTGAAGCTACGACAGGTTTCCAGAGGATTCATTCGCCTTGCATTCTTTATTTCAGCTTTTTTATTATTTCTCATTGCTGGCACTGGTGTTTCTGTGTTCGATTTTAGTTCCCCTGACATCTTCGTGTCGCCCGTCAGTATAACTAGATTCAGTGTCGAGACAACGATTGCCAGGACTGTGATAAGCGTAGAATATTCACTCTACATGAAAATTGAAGAAGTCTTCATGCATGTCGCTGCCGAACTTCAAAATATTGAAATAAATGTCTATTACAATCACCATGGTGCGAAGCGCAGTATCGGTTTCACTAAGATCCCTACTACGACAATTGAGACTGGTGAAATCTCTTACGTCGGAGGAGTCCTGATTGCGCCCATCACGTTTGATCCTGCCTGGGCCTCTTGGTTCCTAGAAGACCTCGATGCTGGCATCTTGCAATTGCAAATCGGACCGGAGGACCTTGTTATGGATCTTTACACTCGCGATTCCATCTTCCAATGGGTCTCTGGCATAAATCAACAGCAAATTGCCTACAGTTATGGCTGCCGTGTTGCACTTTATACGAGGCCAAGAGAGGCCGTGAGGCAAGGAGTCCACCAGAAATATACCTCTCACTTGAGTGACTTTCGATAGGTACTAAGCTCGCCCACGGCAGCGCCAAGTAGCACACACAGTATAAGTAGGACGAATGAAAGTGCGTCTGCGGTTAGTGTTGGCTCTACATCTCAACCGGTCGAATCATATCTTAGCAAAACTATCGCAGGGGTCGCGCATGCTGCCACTGGAGGAAGGATCGGATATGACCCAATTCAGGAGGAACTTACCAACATACTCGGACACGGCTACGACCAAGAGTGTTCTCCCTTGCCAGACCAATCCATCGACATGAGCAGAATTTCAGTCGTTGCAAATGGTTGTCTATTTGTGGCATGCCTTGCAGGTTTAGCGAGTTGCATCCAACTGGTTATTTTAAGGAGGTTGTACAGAAGGACCTTTGATTGTATTGACGTAAAAAACTGCGATCGTATTGACGCAGAAAAAATTCTAGGCTGTGTGGAATTATCAGTGTTGGACGAGTCATCGGTCTTCCATGATCTAGGAGCTTCACATGTCGAGCTGCACTAGCAGCTTCAGCGCTGGCATATCCGGTCGAGCAGCCAAATTCCAACCCTCAGTAACCGTCACGCCTGGGCGATGGATTCCCCTTGAGTTTTGTTTTTCTATGCCGAAATTCTATTGTCGTTTTATAGTTATAGAGCAGATGCGCAGCTTAAAAAGATTCAACAACAATTTTGGTCATTTTTTTTCATTGGGTTTCATTCTCACAAAAACCGACGAAAATTTGTTGTCTATTTTTTCTATGAAAATGCCGTTCGGCCAGCCCTATCCTAAGGTAAAAGTAGCTTTCTAGGAGAAGATTTTCCTGTGGCATTCTGCGCGTAGGGCTCGTAGCCCCAGTCGCAGCCCGCCGTCAGCGCCTCCACGTTCGGCCCGGGCCAGTTGCGCACCTGGCCGTCGGGCTGGCCCCACTTCGTGCTCTTGTCAAAGGCTGGCAGCTTAGCCGGGGGAACAGCGCGCTGTGAGTGTACAGGTCGGGTTCGAGACCAGGTTCGCGTGCTCACCCAGCTCCCGGTCGTGGCGAGAGCCGCCACGCCCGACTCGCTGCGGGGGAGCAGAGAGGTTCCCCCAACGTTCCCCCAACCGGGGAGTTTCACCTGACTTGCAGTCAGGCATTTTCGCGCTACGGAGAGCGTTTAGCGCATAGGAGATGGTAACATTTCCCAACCACCTAGGAGGCGGTTCACTAGGATACCCGTAACGCAGTCTCACTCTGGTCTGGGTTATGGGCCCACTTCCGCGCTGTGAGCCACCGCGCTACACCTGCTAGCTGTGCGCAGCTACACCGCTGCAGGCCTGCGCGCAGGGCGCGCCGCCCGCAGCAGATCCACCGCTCGCGAGCGGCGGATAACTTGAACCCCTGGAACCAGAGCGCGCGCCGCCGCACGAAGGACGGCGGCGCCTCCGTCGTCGCCTCCTGCGACTGGTGGCCCGCGGTCCTACCGCGCCAACCTGGCCAACGGACCGCTCCTGCCGCCCGCCTCCCTATGAAAGGCTGATGATGATGCTGATGATGATGCTGATGATGTTGTATGAAAGGCTGATGATGATGTCAGTGTTGATGGTGTTGATGTAAGTGTTGAGAAAACTCAACGGAAGTGAAAATGACTGGCTATTAGAGCAGGAAGCCACATATTTTAGGGCGAGGAAACTCCGCCGATTCCCGCTCTCCGGCCTCCTGTCCGGCCTCACGACGGCGCGCCTACAGGGCGCGCCGCACCGCCGTTCCTTCCCGGCACGGTGCCGTGGCACCCGCCCGCCTCCCTGCACGCTGCGGCGTGCACATTCTCATTCCCCGGCCTGGCTTCGCAGTCCCCGCTCCGCCTTCCCGGCCGCGGCGGGGGAGCAGAAGAGCCAGGATACCCCCTAGGATACCCGTAACGCAGTCTCACTCTGGTCTGCCTACTAGCTCATCTCAAACTCACCATAGCTCATCCGATTGGATTTGCGGAATCGTGAGAAGCAGGGCTTTGCAGCCATACGCTCGGGGCCATTCGTTGAAGAAACCTTGACAGCGCCTGCAGCTGGTGTCGACTTTAACTGGGGGGTTATAGAGAAATCGCACTGTATGACGTGATCATGTTCATGAAACTCTGCCTCCTTGCCTCCTTCGCCAGCGCCAAATACCGCTCCGGGACAAACATCCCGACAAGCAAGATGATCAAACTAAAACATGCGACGAAAAAATTTCCTCCGAAGCAACCTCCCTTACTAATGACGATTGAGACTGCGGGTCACTACTTGAATAAAAACAAGATTTCGAATAATGCAGGCGGCAAAAATGTGAGGGATGGTACATACCACTGTTCATATATACCACATTGGGGCCGCAAAGCGGAACCCTTTGATACTTCTGCTGACGGACTGTCCATTCATTTGTATTCGGAGTATGGGAAACAAGTAGGGAATCCCGCTGGCATTTTCTGCCCACCAAAAAAACTGCCCAACATGCGTACTCACGCGGTATCTTTGGGGACTGATTTCGATTCCGTCTTCCCCAACGGCGCCTGTAACATGCATGCCTTACTGCTGAACCTTCACCGGGCTAGAGTCGCCATTCTCTTCGGTCACAGTTTTAAGAATGACAATCTCGTAGGCTACTGGGGCGCCGTAGGTGCTGACTATGAATCATGGTGGGGAGATAAATTAAGTTTTGTTCTCGCTGATATCAATTTCTTGTGCACTGCAACTAGTATGATTCACATGCTCGAGAAGGATCGTCCATTTGAGTTGGTTACAAAAAAAGGATACTGGCGTAGGGGTGTCGAGTTTGTGGATAAGAGGAGAAACTACAAGCTTTGGGGTGTGTGCATTCTATACACTATGGTTTGGTCTTTGGTACCAATGTGCACGCTATACTTGACGCTTGAGTTTCTGCCCTATCTATTCCCTAATCAAGTTGCGATGATCAGAGGTCAAGAAAGAAAAAAATTGCCTTTAAAAGTACAACAAATCGTCATTCTGATGGAAATTACCCCAAATCTTGCGCAGGCTCTAGATTTATTTTTCGGAAATATGGCTTGGAGCGGATCGTTGTTTAAGAAAACAAATATGTATGGCATCTTTACACCATTTTTTGTGCATTGGAATTATGCTTTTAAAGTCCAGGGTCTTGCGACAACTATCTTGATGGCATTGATGTGGATGGGCGAGAGCACAGCTTCAAAAAGAATGACGACCGCCCGGCCCATCATGAAAGAAAGCCCCATCAAACTTTATGCTACACTATGGGTTACTTTTCTTGTAGATGCCCTTGCACATAGAGCGTTATCCTGGGGTCATGGAGTCTTTGCATGGCAACCTGATGTTGTTGTACTGATTATGGTTATCGTTCCAATCATAGCCTTGTGCTGCGCTGCCTTCTTCCAACTTCAGGCAGGAAAAGTCACTCAGACACTGCGCTCAGCAGGCGATGCAAACCCCGCGCTTGTTGCCTTCAGGCATAAAATGGTCGTGAACTTGGCTCGCAGTGGCGTATGGGACACTAGCTCTAGTGTTGTCACCATCGTTTTGGGAGCTAGCACATTTGGGGTGGCGCCCATAGGCTTAATTTTCACGGTAGCATCTATATCGACATTTCGATGTGTTGTATCCTACTACCAGGTGGTTTCTGTTGAACCAGCTGCTGCCGCAAAGGCTCGAAAAGAAGCTAAGTCAAGGATAGTGCAAAAGGCTCTTCCTTCGTCAATGAGTTCGATGTCATCATCATCTTCAATGTCATCTTCACCTTCATCGTTGTCATCATCGTCATCATCAGCTTCATCCATATCCTTTTCCACATCCTCGTCTTCATCTGCAAATACTGATGTGTCTACTGCTTGATTCTATCATTCTTCGGCGCGAGCTTTCCGATGATACACATGGGGAATCAGGGCAAGAGCTTATCCTGGCGCGAGAGTCTGTATTCCGCGCTAAGCTATGTTCCGGTGGAAAGCTGTGTTCCGGAGCGCTTTGTTTCGGCTGTACTGCGGGGTCTCGGCTGTGACGGCGTACTGGTGCACCCCTCAGACACTGTTAGCATATCCCGCCGGCGGGATATTATAACCTGGGCTTCAACCTCAGACCTTGTACTTCAACAGGGACCTCAACACAGCCGCTTGCCCTTCAAAAGGGACCTCAACACCGCCGCTCACGCCTCGCGGGGGACCTCTGACGCGCCGCCCACGCCTTAGGGGGCGCGACCAGTGCTTCCTCCTGCTCAAGGACAAGTACGAGCGCCACGCGACGGCGCTCGCCGCGAGGGAGCGGCGGGTGTAACGAATTCGAGAGAGTGATGTAGCGGGAATTGTCCCTTCAAGGTAGACTCTCGGACTACTGGTGGCGACCCCACTACCAGATCGCAAGCTAGGGAAGGATATCAACAGATAGAGTCGTTACAACAAAATCTAGGTTTACGACGACACCCAAATAGAGACGATAACGTCGAGGAGGGCTCCCAACCGGAATCCTCAGTATCAGAGATGAATGAACGAGAGATGCTAGAACTGAATTTAAGTGTGGATGACCCACTGTAACCCGCCGCAGGCCGCGCTCGAAGCGACCGCAGCGATTGTCGACGCGATCATGACCTTATAGGCCACGCATCTGTCGCAATCCAGTCGTTATTGAGCAAGATCTGACACGGTACAGCCGCAGCGTTCGTCACGTCGCGCATCAACAACCGGCCGTTGGCCCGCGCGCGCCCCACGCCGTCGGACAAAAACTCGCGGAGGCGCGCACGTCGACATGTGCTCTCGGAAATTGAGCACCCCGCGGAGCACCCAAAAAAGTACGGGCTCTGGCAGCGGCGTAAAAGTTGGCGGACGTTCCCCATGCGCCAGCCAACCCGCTTTCGAAACTCTCTCTCTCTCCCCGGCCGCCGTGTGCGCACATATCACCTGCAGGCAGGCACGGATTACCTAACCCATCAAAATTTAATAATGTCGACCCCCGGGGTCGGGTTTGCCGGCAGAGTAGCCTGTCTATACATTTTGTTTAACGCTTCTCCAGGATTGGCAAATAAAGGAGTGCGTATCGTACAAGCGGAAACGGAAAATGTCTTGATCACACCCAAACAGATACTGCGATGGGCTGTCGATTTCAAAGTACCGACTGTGGTGCGTAACGCGTTCATACCACCGAACAGTTGTGCATTTGAGGACATGGGCGTCGACCCACAGCTCAAAATTCACGCAAATCTCGGTCGAGTCGGTCATTTTCAGGAAGGCAACACGCTTTCTACAATTAAGACAATAGACGAGAAGATGATGACGAACAAGTCTTTGTATGGATCCTTCGGATACGGAACGAACAATATGGATCCGGAACATCTAGATGCCTTCTTGAGGCTGAAGGACTTGTACGCCCCTGGGTTATTCACGGAGGGAGGTTACCCCGGACATATTATCTTTGGTTCTGCAAATGACACTATAGTGTCGTCTAGTTGGCACAATGCGATAGATGCCAACCTTTTATTTCAACTGTGTGGAGACAAACTATGGCATACGACCGAAGAAGTACCATCTGATGTTACCCCGTTTCTCGTCTTCCCGAGTGCGTCCGGTTGGTTCCATAAAAATCAGCTTATTAAGGGTGGCCGACCTTGGCCGATGGAGATCGATGCTTCGGATCATGTATCTCAAGTTGTGCTACACGCCGGGGATTTGCTTATCAATCCCCCGTATTCGTGGCACGCAGTCAAAATCCAAGGCCCCAGTGTATCGCTGTCAGTTCGCGGTGATAAAGCGGATGTCATGACTTGGATGTCATACAAGTATTTTGCCGGGAACGTCAACCACCCGATTTTAATGGCATTCGCCGTCTACCTAGATGATTTTTATAATTACAAGAAATTATCAGAATCGACGGTGGCGAGATTTTTCAAGATGATTTTTCCGAATTTAGTCAAAACTGCGTACGCGCTATTTCAAGCCAAAAGCATCCGCATACATAACGCGTTAAGGGACAAGTTTCAACAGTATCAGGACAGCGGCCAGGAGAGTTGTAGTGCGGTCAATCAAGATATGTATGAGGTGCTGAACACGGACTGCTCTGATTATTGGACGGTGCCTCGGTGGCTATGCAATATTTGGTACAGCCAACCTCACATTGAACCTAGCGTCAAGTTCTGGTATTCCAAGCTTGTCTTCTTCTAGTGTGGTTTTCACCTTCAACAGGCACGACAGGCTGACGAACCCCAACTCTACCAACCCCGTTTTCTTATTAGGATCAAGATTACCTAAACGGATTTTGGCGCCGGGGCCGCGGCCTGCGGCGGCCGCTCGCGGGCCGCCGCGAGCGCTTCTGTCAGTTGCTGCTTCACTATCTCTGTAATGCTGGCTGTTAACGTTACATTATTCTTGTCCAGCATCGTCTCGAAGTCTCGCTCGTTGGTCGCATCTCGCGTATCCAACATGCTCTGGACCTGTGCCATAGTGACAGGAGCACTCAACTCCTTGTCATTCACCCGAAAATCACCCACGACTTGGTCAGGTGCCCGCTCCTCGTCACAAATCGACAATTCGACGCCCGTCTCCACAGCCCGGTTCTGAACAGCTTGCGACAGCGCCGCCACAGCTGCTTCAAAATCAGGAAACTCAACTAGCTGCAGATGATTCTCACGCACCAACTGGTGCACCACCCGACCAGTGTAATCTAGCTAAATAAAACTGCTGGTGGTGGTCTCTCCAGCTCGCTGCTTCCCGGGGCCCCGGGGACCGGGGTGGCACGTTTTTTTTTTTAGCCCTCCTTCGGCGCAAATGAAGCACCCGCCAGGGCTGCCCTACCCTCCTCGGCACAATATTTTAAAAAAAAGCTCAAGCTAATTGTAATAGAGTTCATTGCTTATGTAAAGGAATGTAAGCGCCTTCACTGCAGTAGACTAGAAAGGTAGATATTTACACTGCCCTACCAACCGGCGGGGATCTAGCGACACTAAGCGGTGAGATGCGAACGCAACCCCCAGACTCCTCGGTCACTGAAGTGTGCAAGAGAAAAGAAAGAAGAGGATACCTTTTCCACGTATCCTCATACAAAAGATACAAGTAGGCGACTAA